TTTCTTTCTCCAGAAAAGGTAAGATGACTTCTTTTTTTCTAGCAGCATTGTCCTCTAGGGCTCACATGAAGAATATATTTTTCCATATGTAGTGTTAGTCCATGTGAACTTAGTCATCAGTGCCTAATAAACCACAACATGAATTCCCGATGAAAGTGAACTGATGGGTACTTCAAGTACAATTTTCTCAGAATGCTAAATGAGTAAGTTGAAAATAATTCTGCTCAAGCCAGTTTTCAACTTTCTCATACTGAAACTCTCCTGGAGAGGAGGGGAACCATTAAGGAATGATGCGCTATTCTTTGTTTAGATTCATGTCCCCTACAAAGCAAAATTATGCTATAATGCTGCCCCATCGTGGGATAATTTCTTAATGCCAGATTTCTCAGTGACCCCCTTCAAATTACTGGCCATTATCCCACTAATTGAGAACACCCCCAGAAGTGAAAACTGCAGCTTAAACTACATTGGGATTTCAATAAATGCAAATAATCTGAAGCCAGATGTGGAACATAACAACATTCTGATGAACTTCCATCACTGCTCAATTCCTTTCTTGGTGTAGTACTCATTTGTAGGATAAAAGAAAACAAAAGAAATTCTGCTTTGACTCCAATTCCAGTCCTCACATTAGTGGAGACTGTCTTTGTCTACAACAAATACAGGATGCTGAACACGTAATAATGGAGACAGTATTTGTGCACTGCTGGAGTGCTTTTGGATGATTTTATTTTAACAATACTTAATGGCCAAGTAATGGAAATAATGAGCTGAAGTAAAAATCCAATATGAGTTTAATGAGCAGAATACTTTGAGTGAGTGTATAGGAGATAAAAAAAAATTCTTTAAATGAAAAAAAAAGCTTATGAAACATTTTACTACTCACTGCTCCTTGAGCTTATTATTTGTATCATAAAATATAGTCACTAGTGTTAAAAGAACATGAAAAGCCATATGGAAGGGACCTTCTGAAGGCAGAGGAGACATTAAACTTCTTTAAGATGGTTTATCAAAGTAATCCTCAGTTACATTTCTTAGATTCACATACATGTGTCTAGATGTTTTACACGTGAACTATAAGTGTGGCTATGACATCCCTCTAGAACTAGCAACACTTTCCTCAGGATCCTCTCTTCTGATGTGACAGTGAGAGAGAAAAAGAAGGCCATACTAGGAATCTGAAGCCAAGACTTGAGGTAAGGGCTATGAAATTCATTTAACAGGTTCATGAGCACATCATGAGCACAACCCTATGTGATGTTGGAATGGCAACATATTTAGGGACAATCTCTTGTTGCCACAGGCTACACATAATGAATCTGTTGGGTAGTTTGTTTGTTTGTTTTTCCATAAGGTAAAAAACAGAAATAAGTAGGTTATGGTTGCACAATACCGAAATAACCAGAAAATTGAATTTTGAGGGGAAATGGTAGAAAAAATGACCCATTGACTGACTAGTTAAAAAATTTGTCTGTGAATCAGATATTTTGGTACTATATAGACATAACTTAAATAAACTGTCCAAAAATGCACAATACAGCAAGTTGTATATTTTGAATTAAAATTAAAAGCTTTGTGATTTTTTTGTGGTGTATCTTAATCACTAGATTACATGTCTTTCTGCAATTCAAATTTTCATTGTACTTTTTAGTGCCTGAAGCTATGGCAATCTTTTCTGAAAGTGTTTCCTTCTGGCTTTGATAATAATGGAATGTGTTTAAAATTTAGAAACTACTATTATAATGCATTTCTTCTTCATTGCTCTCCTTTCCTTACATTGAATTATTTCTTTTGCCCACATAGTAAACTAAATTTGATTTCTGAATTTCTTCTTTCAAGTTAACTCAAAATAATTGTTTTTTTGGAACTATCTTACATAGGCTGGGCTTAATTCCTTTGAAATTGGTTTTCTAATAGATGAAGGTTGTAAGAGTAGTGTACATGTTTGAATACACTCAGGATTGACCTGAACTTTCATTTCAAATGTGAAATGGATGCAAAATGATCTTTTCTGAGCCTTGAAAAAATTAATTATTTCACTTCTACATAATCAGGATATATTCACTTTTAGTAGTTACACAAATAAAAATGAAAGGATTATAGATGTAGAGTTGGGACATTAGACATCATCCAGGCCAACCCCTTTATTTTACAAATGATAAAAATGACACCCTTAGAGGTTAAAGTTATTTACACTGACACCATTCTATTCCTCTAGCCATTTTTTTGCCTGAACATCTGTTTACATATGACTCATAACCTATTCTGAGTTTGAAAATTTCTATAACATGAAAAAGCTGAATTTATTATAGTAATAAACTGTAGTTTCCTGTAATGAGAACATTTAGAGATTTCCAAATACCTTGGCATTTTTTATTATGCAGAAACAAGGATTAGATGCCCATTTCTCCATTACTTTGAATGGCTTTGCAGACAGGGTTTAGCATATCAGATCTATGGTCCTTTTAATGGTGGGATTCTGCTGTGGTGGCACAGAATCCAGTTTTAGCTGATTCAAACATGTTAACTTTCTGAAGTCAGTTCAACGCTAATTAGAAAGACATATCTTTGGAACAGCATTATTTACATTGACTTTTCATAGTGACAATTATTAATAGAGACTAAATCTATTATGTCTAACAGCACAGTAAAATTTCTTCTTTCGGACTTGATTCAATAGTGCTCATAGAATTGTGAATTTGTTCTATTGTCCTGACAGAATGGTATAATTATATTCTCAATTTAATACAACTCTATTGATTTAGCACAGTAATGTATCACTCATAGAGATGGGTTCTTAAGAATCAGTCAACTAAAACAGCTAGATCTTCCAAAGGATTTAAATCTAACTTTTCTGAAAAGCACAAAGGGGATCCCTCCAGAGAACACCTTCCCCTATTCCTGTTCAGTCCAGTAAGAAAGAAGCCACAACCACCAAAAACTACATGCAGAGATCCAACATCACGTTTAGAATGGTAAACAAACATATATTTGTTAGGAAAGATGCAGCATAGTAAAGCTGATAAAGGACCAGTCTTTAAAACTGACAAATGCTATGTAATATTGGGTAAATAATTGAACCTTTCAGTGATCCAGAAAGACCATAAATTACCTCTAATTTGTAGCTATGCATTTGTGCAAAGTTTCCTCAGGGAATTCTCCTGATGAAATCCCAGACCCAGATTTCTTCCTCTCTGCCTTGTGCCCCCAAAAAGAATTAAAATAAAAAATTTTCTAAAATTTCATTTTGAAGTCATAACAAAATTGAGGGCTCAGATTATCTAAATCTACCATACCTGTTAACTTATGGCCTGTGAGAAAGAGAAACAATATACCAGACCAACTCTAAACCACATTTTTTTCCCCATGTGAAAGCTGTGTACTATTTTTTAAAATGACTTTTTAAATATTTCATCAGTGTTGGGAACTCCAGTGAGGAACTCCCTCTACCATTTTAGATTGGTTTTTTCTCTGCAAAGTTACTTGTCCTGGTCACACATTCAGTACCAGTCAGAAACAGGATTTGAACCCAGGACCTCCTGACTTCAAGACCAGCTCTCTATTCACAATGACAAGCTGCCTTTCAGCATATGAAGTTACTCCATTTTGAAGAGATATTTAAGAAAGCAGAATAGCCAAAGTCAATTTAAACCTAAACCAATTTTAATTCTACTCCAGAATCTTTCGACAAACATGTTTAAAGGCAAGGATCATTTGGGATAACCTAGGGAGGTGTTGGCACTGGCCAGTGATAACCCAGTCCTTTGAATATGTTCAATATGCTCTGCCAGATGGCAATCCAGGTTCACCCTACCTAGAGCTCAGAATTTTACTACTTCAGAAAACAATAGGATAACTTAAACATTTGAGAATATCCTATAGGATGGGAGAGGAAGTGCAATCTCTGTTCTATCTCTATCACACCTTCAAGTGAGATGCCACAAAAACTCTCCTCTCCAGGTAGAATTAAATCCAACTTTCCTACTCATTGACAAGCAACAGGAAGGATGTGGGATTCAGCTTCTTGGAATGGTTCTGTGCAATGGCAATGACTTGATTAAAACTGACTCAAGCAATAGCAGCACTTTTATTTTATTTTTTTAATAGAGGTCACAAACTCTATTTTTGGTGGCTTCTATTAATTAGTAGATCATACTTGGATAATTTTAGCTTAAAAAACAAAAACCAAAACACAACACAACACACACACATAATCTGGGTACTATCTGTATAATACTTGCTTTTCCAGAAAGCCCAATTTTAATAAGCTGCCATAAATTTATGAACAGTTTCTGAGCTACGCTTTACACTGGAGTGAAACAAAAAGAACATGACTTATTCTCACTCTCAAATATAAAAGCAAGTAATATCAATTCTAAAGAGATGACTTGTATTGATAAAGCATACGTACTTTAATACCGCAGTAAATATTTTCAATTTCCTAAAACAAATGCTAATACAATGATTATGAATGATTTGTTTTCATTAAATAGGAAATATTATTCACCTCTAATAAATTTACATCAATTCAGCCCAAGAAACGAGCACACTTCCACAGACATAGTTTGAGCATACCTATTGGGGGAAAGTAATACTATTTCTATAGCGTGCAAGCATGAAAATGAACTGCATTTCCAATCTCTATAAAGCCTTTCTGGTCTGAACTGGAACTTTCACCATCCCATGAATATCACCAAATAGTACTCCAGTGCAAACACAAGACATTGTCTTAAAACAGCAGGTGTGCACTGTTATGACTCACTGACACCTTCAGTTTGGACTTCAACTGCCCCATACCAATGAAGGAAACTGATTGGATTGAATTAGAACTTTTGTTTCTAATATAGTCACCATTTAGAAATGTCCTTATTCAAGCCAACTTGTATATCCTTTTGTCATGCATTCACAGGAGTATTCTGTCCTATACCTAGGTATGAGTCACTTGTGTAGAAACATAAAACTGACAATATAGTGATTAAATTATTAAACAGACTTCTAACCTCTTGCTCTCTCTTACTGCTTTGTCTCCCTTCTTCCAGGAAATTGCTGGTTTTGGAGAACCTTGAGGTTTGCACTCTATGAGAACTTCTTGGCCTTTGGTAATTACTATTGTTTTCTTCAGTTGATTCAGTGCAAAAACGGGAGCTGAGGCTGTTTTAAAAAAAGAAATATATTTATTTTTGAGACAAACAGTCATGGATGTTCACAACAATGAATTTTAACCAATCATTCCTCAGGATTTTGCAATTTCTCTTTGGAACAAAATTATAATACAAATAGAACGAATGTTACCTTAACTTCAAGTTTAAATGCAAAGACTAGAATTTAATTAACTTGTTGATTAAGAAAAGCCTTGCCACTTATCCCTTGTAGAAGGTCATATTATTTGCTATATTTGACAACCTGTTACATCATTCAGTTAACTCACCACTGATATGAAAGTAAAATTACAATCACTAGCAAAAGGTGTTTTTCTATAAAATAACTTGCAGACAAGTAGATGTAGGGATAGTCATCCTCTCCAGCTCCCAATGGAGCATGCTCTGAATCTAAAGTCAAGTTAACACTATTCCCAACAGCTTCCTATGAGTCTGGCTGGGGAGGGGCAGCTGGCTCTACTCCTCTTTATATTCTCCATGTGGCTTTTAGAACATATAAGCTAAATCAAGCACATGTGCCAGCATGATTTGCAGATAAAAAGGAAGAGAGTGAGGAGGCCGACTGCTCCCTTCTATGTATTCACCAGTCATCAGCTCCTCTAGCTCCATAGACAGTAAAGAGATTTTTTTCATCTCAAAATGGAATCTTCCAGCAATGAGGCACACACAACTAGAAGCAGCCCTTCTTCCTTCAAAGCTTTCACTGTTATGGGGACTAAAAAACAGCAACCCTGAGCTTACTTTGGGGAGGGGAAATGAGGTGAACAACAAGCCCCCTCCCAGAACATGTGCAATTTCCAAGAAAGTTGTGGGTATTAAGTCTGAGACTGATAAACAAATATGTCCTTTTCTCTTGTCAGCAGTACTTTGAATCTTATTTTTCAGCCAAATGGCACTGAACTGAGCTCCTATAAACACCCAGAGAGAGCTTCCTTTGAGTTTATGTATGTTTGTGATGTTTGGGCTGGAGGGTTTGGAATCTGTGCTCTGCTCTCTATGCAGAGGAGATCAGACATCTTTTGTTTGAGCAGGGTCTTAGCTTAAGCCCTTCAAGTTAGATAAAATTGAATGTTCTTTAAGTGATAAATATGTTATTTACATATAAAAATAGACTTCATATGAAATGATATTAATCTTCCTGAGCTGGGAAGGGGAGTTGTTTATAGTGACCTGACTACTTTATTCATCTCAATGTTGTTTTCCCTTAGATTTTAGCACCATTCTGTTGAATCTTAAAGAGAAACTGAAAGGCATATTTCTACAAGACATAGTGTATTAGACTTTTAGCAACAAACATAAATCAGACCATTACGTGGGGGAGATTAGGCATAGCAATAAATATAATCTTTTTATACTTAAGTATACCAATACAAGGCATGGAACACCAATTTGAAAAAAGCAACGAGAGTTGGCCCCAAAGCTATATTTGTGAAACCCAGTAAGAATCTTGTGGAGCAAAATGTCCATAAACTTTAAGAAAAGACCAAACACTGAAAAGCTTTAGGGGAAAAAAAAACATAGGAAAAATATAAATATTCAAGGTCTCAAATGATAATTGAATAAAGGAAGGAAGCCACCTTTTTTGTAGTTTTTTGCTTTCAAATTGCTTACCTAAAACCTTCAGCTCAGCACTGGCATAAATGGATCCATATTTGTTTTCTGCCAAACACTGATACATTCCAGCATCCGACTGATTCACATTGTTGATCATCAATACACCATTAACCATCTCAACCCTGTTCTGTAATGGAATTAGAATAATTTCATTCTACAAAGCAAATAGAGGATGTAGAATTTCTGTATGCTTAGCTGGAACTATGAACCAAACCCCTTAAAATCAATGCGGTTAAAGCATAATTTTGCATCTTAATAGAATTTCTTTTGCTATTTATCCAATTTTTTTTTCATATAGGATTTCCTCTCTATGGTAATGAACAATAGCTGCTTAGCTAGAAAAAAAAGAAATATATTTTTTCTCCTTCATCTTATTTGTTTAATTTATTCAGAGTTTGTAACATTGCCTTGCCAAACCAAATTGCCTTTATTATATTCTGTTTGGTAGCTATGTGAAACATGTGAGGGAAAAAGAAACAAAGTGTGTATTTAAATGTGTGTTCATTTGCACATAATCTTCAATGGAATATCAGTGGTCGGGACACATGTGGAGTTTATGCTTTACAAGCCCAGTAATGAGATTAAAATTGTGGGGAAACTTTAGGTAATCTAAATAAAATCTTGGGGTTGATTTTTCCCACAAAACTAAATCACTACAGTTTAAAAATATATTAGTTCCCTGATCCAAGTGTTCTAGAGAGCAATTTGGAACTGTGCCCAAAGGGCTATAAAACTGTGCATACCCTTTGATCCAGCAATACCGCTATTAAGTCTGTATCACAAATATATCATTAAAAAGAGGAAAAGGACCCACATGTACAAAAATGTTCATAACACCTCTTTTTGTGGTAGCAAAGAACTGGAAATTGAAGAGATGCCCATCAATTGGGGAATGGCTGAACAAGTTATGGTATGTAAATGTAATGGAATACTATTGGCCTGTAAGAAATGATGAGTAGGCAGATTTCAGAAAAACCTGGAAAGACTTGCATGAACTGGTGTTGAGTGAAGTGAGAACCAGGAGAACACTGTCCACAGTGACAGCAACACTGTGCAATGATCAACTATGAGAGACTTAGCTCTTCTCAGCCACCCAATGTTCCAAGAAAATTCCAAAAAACTCGTGAAAGAACTATGGAGTCAGAATGCAGATCTAAGCATACATTTTCACTTTATTTTGTTTTTTCTTTCTCATGTTTTTTCCCTTTTGTTCCGATTCTTCTTTTACAACCTGACTAAGGTAGAAATATATTCAGTATAATTGTATATGTATAACCTAGAACAGATTGCTTGCTGTATTGGGGAGGAGGTAGGGAAAGGAGGGAGGAAAAAAAAAATTTGGAAATCAAAATCTTATACAAGTGAATGTTAAAAACAATCTTTACATGTCACTGGAAAAAATACTATTAAGTGGGAAAATACAGAGTTGATCATTATACAATGTTGCTGTTACTGTGTACAATGTTTTCCTAGTTCTGCTCAGTAGTTTTGGTAAGCTATAGGCAAAAATCACTGTAATGAGCTCCATTAATTATGTACTAAATTGGGGAAAATTATAAACAGTTTCTTGGATAAAAAGTCTCATCTCAAATATATAGAGAACTGTGGCAAATTTATAAGAATATGAGTCAATCCCCAATTAATAAATGGTCAAAGGACATAAATGTGCAATTTTTGGATGAATAAATTAAAGATATATATAATATATATATACACACACACACATACAGATATACACATTTATACATATATATTTAAAAATACTCTAAATATTATTGATTGGAGAATTGCAAATTAAAACAACTTTGAGATATCATTTCATACCTATCAGATTGACTAAAATGATAGAAGTGGAAAATGACAAAACTTTTTTTTTTAGGCAATTGGGGTTAAGTGACTTGCCCAGGGTCACACAGCTAGTAAGTGTTAAGTGTTTGGTCTGAGATCAGATTTGAACTCAAGTCCTCCTGAATCCAGGGCTGGTGCTCTATTCCTGTGCCACCTAGCTGCCCCTTTTTTCATTTGTTTGTTTTGAAAATGTCAAATCCTGATGGGGAAATGGAAAAATTGGTACACAAATACACTTTGGAACTGTGGAACTGTGAACTAATCCAATCATTTTGGAGAAAAATCTGGAATTTTGACCAAAGAGTTATAAAACTGTGTATACCCTTTGACCCAGCAATACCACTATTAGGTCTGTTTCCCAAGGTGATCAGAAGGAAAAGGAAAAGAACCTATATATTCTAAAATATTTATAGGGGCTCTTTTTGTAGTGGCAAACAAATGGAAATTTAAGGGATGTCTATCAATTGGGGAATGGTTAAACAATCTGTGGTTACAATTGTGATGGAATTCTACTCCTATAAGAAATGATGAGTTCGATTATCTTGGAAAAACATGGACAGACTTGCATGAAATAATGAAGAGTGAAATGAGCAGAACTGAGAGAACATTGGATATAGTAACAGCAATATTGTTTGAAGAATAACTGTGAACAGCTAAGCTATTCTGAGTAATATCAAACCAACTACAAAAGACCTATGAAGAAAGATGCTATCTACTTCCAGAGAAAGAACTGATAAAGAGAAGTATGCTACACATGGTTTTAAGTGTGTGTGTGTGTGTGTGTGTGTGTGTGTGTGTGTATGAAATGGTGACCTTGATTATTGTGAAGTGAGCAATCAGAGAGGTGGGCAGTTTGAAATTCAAAGTATAACAAAAATATAATAAAAGTTTAAAAATTATGTATTTTATAACAACAACAACAATGGCTAGTATTTATATAGTATTTTTAAATATGCAGAGCTTTTTAGTAATACTATCCTATTTGATTCTCACAACAACACTGGGAAGGTAGATGCTATTATCATTATTACCATCTTACAGATGAGGAAACTGAGGCAGATACAAATTAAGTGACTTGCTCAGGGTCACACAGCTAGTAAATATCTGGGGTTAGATTTGACCTCAGGTCTTTCTGACACCAGATATAGCTCTCCATCCACTAAGCCACTTAGTTATTTTATTTGAATACTTTCTTTGGTATCAGAACAGTCACTTCTCAAGTGCCTTAGTATTCTTGGCATAATTGCTCTAATCACGCAATAGTCAATATCTCAACTTAGATTCTTGTTCCAATTTTCTTTCTCTTGGTTTACTGTAGCAATTGTATAATGAATGACCCAACTGGCTTTGGGACTGTGATGGCTGGGACTGGGTGAATAGCCCCCACAAAAAATAAAACAAAAGTTAAAAGAGGGCTGGAAATCCTAGGTTCACATTCTACCTCAGACACTTTCTGTGTCACCATAAGCAAATTATTCAACCTTTCTGGTCTTCAGTTTTTTCATCTGTGAAGTGACAGTTTAAGACTTATTGGCTTCTAAGATTCCTTCTAGCTCTACATCTATAACCCTATGAGCCTAATATAAAAAAAAGAAAGAAAGAAAAAAATCCTAAAAGCCAAAGCTAGTTAACAAATTGATCACTATCCCTAGTTAACTAGAGATAGATGGAACTGTTTAAAAAGAAAGGTGCAAAATATAAAGTGGCCTAGCAGAAAGAGCTTTAGAATGGGAATCAGGAGACCCAAATTTTAGTCTCAGTTCTGACTGTCAACTCTGAAACTTTGGAAAATGCATTTTAAAATCTCAACCATTAAATAAAGAGGGCTGGATTACATGATCTTCAATGTCCAATTTTAGAGCTAAAATCTGTGAAAATCATTTTTTGTTTTCTAATGAGTATTTCAAGTAAATGGCAGTGGCAAGTAACCACATTATTTTAAGAAGCAAAATATATATATAGTACGATGGGGGCTTAATGCATACCTAGATCACCTAAGATGGTATCACACATGTGGAAAATGGTAGGGAGCCTGCTTCTGTAAGACTGTAGAAGTGATGAATGTACAGAAAGTCTATGTTGGTTTACCATATGGTTGAAAGCAGCCTTCTTCCATCAGCTATGTAGCCAAAATTGTCTACATCTTTGAAACTGCCTGACTGAACACTGTTCTAGCTTTTTCCTGCATTTATTCTGAAGATAAGGGAATCCTTCCCTCACAGCCAGTGACATCACGTGGTAAGGGAGAAAGTTTGTGGGCCTTCTTCTCTCCTACTTCGATCAGGCCATATGGCTCCCAGAATCATAGCTTTGGCTTTCTTCCTTCACTCTTTTCTGTTCTAGGAACAGTAACTAAAGCATCCAATCCCACCAAGGAGTCTATTACACCAGTCTGGTTGTTTTAGTGAGCCCAGCAAAGAAGCTCTAAGAATAGGGTAGGAGGCATTACTCACAAAACTGGCCTTTGGACTTGAGCTTGTTAGGACTAATACTAAGTAGGAACTGAGCTAAGCTGTGAGCCTGGTTCTTCTCCCCTCCAGCTGAGGTCATATAAGGAGAATTATGATCCAAGATGTTAGGAGGAAATGTCTGTATGGTTGTTCTTCTTTCATCCTGGAAGTAAATATTATTTTGTAAAAATTAATTTAATGTTAAAGTTACTAAATGGAACTGAGGTACTTCTCACTGGACCTCTAAATTTGGAGGGAACATGGTAGCTTAAGATATCTGTGGAGAAAATAAAATCTCAACCCCATCAGGAGACCAGAGATGGGTTAAAAATGTACAAGGCCTGGCTCTGAGAGGGTGGGGCCAGAGCATCCATGCTGCACTAGTGATCAAAAGCTACAGAAAAATACGGGTAACAATGATAACATTAGGCCACAGGCATGAATTGACCTTTCATTTTCCCTGCCCATCACCATTTAAAGGCACAAAGAAAAGTCAACTTTTACTCTCATGTAATTTCAAAATGAACAACCCCAACAAAAAGAAAAGAGGACTAGTTTTTCCTTTATTAAGTCCTGGACAAAAACATTATGTCAGGGCAGTTACTGCCTCACTCCATGCATTACCTGAGCCAAGAGAGGGACTCCATTTTTCAACCAACGGTATGTGGGCCTGGGCTTTCCAGTGGCTTTACATTCCCATCTGAGAGGGCTGCCACTGTCTAAATGAGTATCATTCAGCTTCTCTACCCAATGTGGGTAGTCTGCAAGAAATTAAACATCAAAAAATGGTTATTTCAACACTCAGGCAATATGTAGCCAATTCAAAATGCACCTAATTGAATATTCAGCATCTTTTCCTCATTAATTCACATGAATTTCATTAATAACGATAGGTGCTTGGAAGACACACTTATGAAAAAGTGAGAACCAAGACTAAAAATGTTGCATTACATACAGAATGCAAAATGTACAGATAAAGTGATACTATAGCGGAGAAACAACACTGCTTAAAAATACACCTCCTTAATTCCAACAGATGGTCTTATTTTGTTAGCCTACTTAAAGACATTGGACTCAATTCTTAGTCATTAACTGGTGGTAAGTTTTCTACATAAAGGTGATCATTAATCTTTTGAGGGCTTGGGGTAATGGTTAAAAAGATTAGTTTTGTTATTTTGAATTTGACAACCACAAAGAAACATGACCATTTTCAAGTACAAAGAACAGAAAAAGAAGTTTGTGTGTAATACTATCATTAGGTACAGTTTGTCTATTTTAGTGCCTAATACATCCAACATATTAGTTTCAAAGCTAGCCTGCTTATCAGTTATCTACTACCTTCCCTCTTAAATTGTTTAAAATTTAGGATAATAATTTGAGGAAAAGAAAAGAGCTTACATGAGCTTTTAATGTACTTAAGGTATTACCAAAATACCCTGATCATCCTAGCAGTGGGGAAGCAGGGATGTTGATGGTGAGGTTACATGTAGCAACTGGGTAGTGATTTCCATGCCTGGATGAGGGACACAGACCTTGTGAGTGGAGGAGACAGTCACTTGAATGGGATGGCTTTGGGAACAAAATGGGTAAGACAGAGATTGGGATAATTGATTTATAATCATATCTTGTGGAGAATGGTGAACAGAGTAGACATATGAACTCCATTCCAAAGTCTGGCTGCAACCCTTCCCCCCCACCCCATCATCACTTGGAATAAGGGAGGTAGTATGGCATAGCAGACCAATAGATAGAAGACCAATCTCTGAGTCAAGAATACTTGGTTTCTGACAGATACTGCCTTCATGACCCTGGGCAAGTCTCTTAATCTCTCAGTGCCCCTGACACTTCTCTATAGATATAAATTTCAGAGTATTTACAGATCTGCTTTAGTATTTCTATTATTATTATTATTATTAGAAATATTGTTTCTAATATTTTAGTATTTAGATTTCCTCAATCAATATCTCTGGGTGATAGATACCCAGATTTCAGACCAGTGAAATCATAGGCCTGGAAAAACAACAACAGACAATGAAATGTAAAAAGAACCTCAGCATGTTTGAGAGTAGATCTTTCATGAAGAATCTATGAAATTGTATTGATAAATTTTTTACAAAATAAGGAGGCACAGATAGGTTGGAGCTCATACCAACAGAGGGAAGAGCCACACCCAAGACGTAACCACCTAGAACACATAACCACCTCCTTGCCAAAATAATTCTTATCTGCCTTATCTTAGACTAGGAGTGAGGGCCACATGTGGCCCTCTAGGTCCTTAAGTGCAGCCCTTTGACTGAATCCAAACTTCACAGTTCAGTCAAAAGGCCACACTTGAGAACCTAGAGGGCTACATGTAGTAGGCTGCAGGTTTCCCACTCTTGTCTTAGACTATTCCCCTTCATGAACTCTTCACTAACACTAAACTTATCACAATTATGGAACATGATTTGTCCTTTACATTTCACCCAAATCATTCTCCCTCCCAGAAATGTCCTTCTCTGTCCTTTCTTCATATTTACTTGAATCTATCTTCCAAGTTCCAGTTTTAATCCCACCTACTCCATAGAAGATTCCCAGGAGGTTTTCAGGTAGATGCTACATGAGCATTTGTCAGGGATATTGTACAGGGAATGGATGTTGAGATCTAATTTGGACTAGATGACCTTTGAGTCATCAATGAGATTATTCTGAGATGAGATAAACCACAAAGTGTTAACTATAGTAGGTCATAATCAATATGGAAAATTAGTCTTCCTGGATGCAAATGCCTTGAACAAATGTATTTACTTTTTAGATTGCAAAGTATTTCACAGGTTAGTGAACAGGTGGATGAAAAGAAGATATTTTTTTCTAGCTGACCATGGTGCATAGTAAGCACTTAATAAATACTAGTTAGCTGACCACTCAGAATCAATATATTCATGAACTCATCTCATTCATATTATCAGGAAAATGAAAATGGAGGCACAGCAATGCATTAATAATTATTCCTGTAGTACACATCTAGTATGCATCACCATTTTTAAAAAATGAGATGGATTTCATGGATTAGAAAAAGTATTTTCAAACTGTATTTAGTATATTTTTCCGTAATAGCAAAGGTTTGCAATATTGTCTCATACTTTTATATGATTTCTTATGCAGAATTTCAGAATTTATTCCAACATTCAAAAATTTACTTAAAGACTATCTACCACGTGCAAAATGCTATATAATGCACTGCGACAATAGATCACAAGAAAAAATTAGGAAGGAGAAAGCAGGAGACACTGGGGGTGTGGATTAGGATGAGGGAAAGCTTCACAGACTGGGAAGTGGCATATAGGCTAATGCTAGGTAGTGAGGAGTTAACGTGAAGTAGTATTGTATTCTATCTAACATGCGGATCAGTTTTGCGCAGAGGCAGGTGTAACATAGAGATGGGGAAACTGGCCGTAATGTAGAATTTCTAAAGAGAAATTGAATGAAATTAATCTAATAGGATTGGCTAGAGCCAAACTTGGGGGTAATGGTGTTTAAATGTTGGCTGAGGAGTTTGTATTGATCCTAGAGGCAATGGGAAGCTCCTGAAAGTTTTTGATGAGGAGAGTGATAGGATTCACACTCGGGTCTTCCTGACTCCAATTCCAACATTATTTTTACTGAATCACTTAGCTTAGCTTCCTCTATAAAAAGTATCATTTATAATCCAAGAATTGTGATAAATGCCAAAAAGGATACAAAGATGACACAGGTCCTCCCCTCAATGAGCTTTTGTGTGTATAAGATTACACATTTTCTCTTTTGTTTTCCTCCATTTACAAATTTAGTGATAAGTGCCCAAGAGAGATGCAAAAGTTATCTATCTTTTGTTTACCAATTAGACAAAAACATTTATTGAGCAACCTAAGCATATCACAAATCGAAATGGAAGATAAAAAAACAATCAAACAAAAAACAACAAAGAAAAAGCAGTTTATAAGCTTCATGAGGGTAAAGTCTCCTTCCCTCTCTCCCTTCTCTCCCTTCCTTCCCTCCTTCCCTCCCTCTTTTCCTCCCTCCCTTCCTTTCTTTCTCTTCTCTCCCCCGCCCACCCCCCATTCTTATCTCTAGCTCTTAAATTTAGGGTATGTAGGGGCACTTAATAAATACTTTATGGATTGAATTCTATCCGTCAAGGGAAATAGCATTTAATATCTTTGGGATTATAGGAAGCTTTTATCGTTCCTGGGGACTATGAGAAAGCTCCACAAATTTTACACATATGCCCACACTACACTATATCAATCAGGATTGCATTTGCTTTCTTGTCTTAAGTCATTATCTGTGCATGTTGTATTTTTCTTGTAGGTTCCATGACACCATAAAGCACAGAAACCAACAATCATCATGTTTTGTAGTACTGACTGATGTTCAGAACTCAAATATCCAAAACCCAGAAGAGCAAACTCAAAAGTATCTTTAGTTTCCAGTCCATGGCATACTGACTACAGCATGTTTTACATACTCTGGTTAGCTAATGAAATTTTTTAATGCCATATTAGCTATTATCAGGCATATAACATTTCACAGGCATAATTTAAGGTGTGGGGGGGAAATGGCTTTTTTTCCCTATCCTCCAAATGCAAAGGGAGAAAAATAATGAAAAAAAATTAAGAAAAAAATAATGAAAAAGACTACGATCACATTTGATATTCTACGTAAGATAGTTTCAATAGGAGGAGCAATACAAGGTTGTGTCAGCTTTCAAAATTATGCTGTTTTTTCAGAGGCATTTATTTGTCTAGTTTTACCTTCTTTTGGATAAAGCATTGTTTTAAAGATCATTTATTTATATTAGGTTGAGCAAGGAAGCTTTAAGATTCATTAATCTTTTACCAAGTGTCTCTACTGGATTTTTTTTTTAAAGAAGGAAAATATTTTATTTTTTTCAAAACTGGCGCATTAAATTATAACATGCCTTTTTCTGTCTGCTTAATGGGTTGGCCCCCACCAATGTTTTAACCATCTACATTGGAAAACCTAAATGGTCGAAAAACATTTATTTCCCAGCTACAGCATGCAGCTAAAATGGGAAGCTCACTGATTTAGCTCATTTATGAATATATCTTGGACAAACACACCATGTAGATGCGGAAATAGACTAAGAATTATATACAGGGAGGATATTGGACTGGAATGAGGGACTTTCACAAAGATTTTCAGTACAAGCATTTATACTCTGGAAATCAGGAAATGCCACAAATCAGTGCTTGATATTTAGTATTTTTGATTGTCCAGACTTAATTAAATGATAGAGAAAATGTTAAAATTAAGATTAAACTTAAAAGTGTGTGGTGTATGCATGTTTTCCCATCCCCACCCCACACACACCATATTCCTCACTGGATAGCTGGTTATTAAACATTTACTTGCTCATTCTGGACTGGAATACTCATGGGAAGTGGGAAATGAGGGAACAAGTATTTATTAAACTCCTTCTGTGCTAAACACTTCGCAAGTGTTATCTCATTTGAAATGGGAGACTACATACATTAGATAATTTTTAGATGTTCTCTGCAAGAAAAAACAAAAACAAAAACAACAACTCATCTCTTTAGTAGCTATTCTCCCAGTGATGCTGTCATGGCTATAAATCATGGATCATCATGATTTCAGAAGAATCTAAATTACAAGCAAGTCAGAGGACAATGGAAAAACAAATAGTCGCTAGAATTGGGCTATTGCACATGATCAATATTAGGCCGTAAGTTTTCAGAAGGCAGAGATAATTTCATATCTA